CCTCTGGACTTTGCTGCCACCTTGTGGACAGAATTAGAAGGACAGGGTTGTGACTGCCCTTGGCCAAAGATAGATATACCAATAGTTTAGCTCTTTGCCGGCCAGGAGACAGGAGGAACTGAGCAGGAGAGACCCAGCCACCATAAGACTAGGCCACCCAGGTTTTGCCAGTATCTATACATGTTTCTAGAGCAGGAACTCAAAGCTGTGGTTTTAGGGAAGAACTCCTTGGAAAGGAGCTGGAAATGTGCAGAGTCGAGGTGGGGGAGAGAGGAATGGGAGAAAAAGTGACAGGGAGGAATGGGATGCAGAGGTCTGAATCCAGCCTGGTGGGGACAGGAACCTTAGGCCTCACTGGCCTGTGGTGGTGACCAGTTCACGTTGCCCTCCCATACCTGAAACGGGGACAGGAAGGACAAAGGCCGCTCCTCCACGCTCCCCTGGGACAAGTTCTCACCCTCTCACAGTGTGCTGAGAGCAGAGGGAGGAGGGGCGGGCATGCCACTAGACATCGCTCTACTCCAGCCTCACGATTCCCTGGGCTTCGGCCCCATTTGGGAGCGTGATGCCCGCATCACCCAGGAGGCAGGTGCTGATGTGATAGCCGTTTGACAGGTGAGAAGATTGAGGCACAGAAGACTCAGTGCTCGTACGAGGTTTCACAGCCAGCATGTGATGGGAGAAAACCCAGAGTTTGGATAGCTCACTCTTCTATTGTTCCCAATAAACGTGCTGCAGAAAGGAATGAGAGCGGCCCAACTTCAGCGGTCCCAGCTCCGGAAGCCTCGCCTCCCAAGCCCAGTGTAGTAGTGGGATTGAGGCAAATCTTCTCCCCAACCGGGTCTGCCCCTTCCCAACCTAAAGAAAGGTTTCTCTCTTAAAGGCTCTGGGAAGTGAGATTCCACTCCTTTCCTTTCGGAGTCCCAACCTAATTCCTGTCGGGAATGTGAGTATCAGGAGGTTCTTCCTACAGCCGTTAACCTTCACACCTCCTCCTGCAGGCCAAGTCCATTTATAATGTCTGTTAAACAAAAAAATTGAACTTTCATGGCTGAATGTCCTTTTAAAAGAAAGGGTTTATTAGGCCATTGCTGGCAAAAGAAGGAGGAGGAGGAAGCAGAGGAGGAGGAGGATTAGGAGGAGGAGGATGAGACTTTTTAAAAAATATATATTTTTATTGATTTCAGAGAGGAAGGGAGAGAGAAACATCAATGAGAGAGAATTATTGATTGGCTGCCTCCTGTACGCCCTCCACTGGGAATCGAGCCCGCTACCCGGGCATGTGCCCTTGACTGGAATTGAACCCGGGACCCTTCAGTCTGCAGGCCGACGCTCTATCCACTGAGCCACACCAGCCAGGGCAGGAGGAGAGTCTGCTGCTGCTGGGCCCCGGGCACGGAGTCCGTGTCACAGCAGCTTGGCCAGGTGGGAAAGACAACGGTGCGTTGCCTGGAGTTTTGTGTGTTTGTACATCAAGTGGAGGGCGAGATGTAGCCTTTCTGGAAGGACTGACGTTGCTGCGGACGAAGGGGCTGCAGAGGCGGAGGCAGGCAGTTCAGGCGAGGAGCCCGGGCAGAGGCGTGCCCTCTCGGACAGGCTGTAGGCAAGGCTGGACAGTTCACGTGTAAATCAGAAGCAGAGGCTCCTGGGGTTCAGAGGTGCCTGGCGGTTCTCTCTGAATAATCGTGGACACAGCCGCCTGGAAATTAATCTGACATTCCTGCGTACACTGAGGAGTGCGAGCAGCCTTTGGTCAGACCTGGCCCACGGCTACGGACAGGCCACGGTTCTGTCTCTTTCCCTCACTCTGGCCGCTGGGATGGTAATTTAGACCATCTCAGGGGGGAAAAAAAGGTTTTTTGTTTTTGTTTTTGGTCAGGTCCTAGAATGAAGAGATAGAGGATGTGGAAGAAGGCTTCTATTTCAGAGAGGGTATTCATGGTCTCTAAAACCAGGGTTTAATTCTCTAACCACGCAGTCAGGACTGGCCAATCACAGGCCTTAATGGGAGAGCTTAAATTATAGAGGACCAAGTTAGAGGAAAGAAAAAAAGCAACAAAACCTACCCAACTCCCAGCCACTGGGCTGCAGCTGATGGGCAATTATCTGCTGCTGCGTGCACTGCTGGCTCCCTGTCCGACTGCCGGGTGGGCAGTGCGGGTGGGGGAGGAGGCCAGTGAGTGGGTGTCAGGTCAAGACAACCGTGTGGGGGCGTCCAGACCCCTCTCCACTTCTTCCCCCTTTCACCCCTGCACTCCCCTCCAATCAGGAGGGGAGCTGCCCTCTCTTGCCCACCGCCCCTCCCCCACCCTCGGGAGGAGAGGGGAGCGATTAGCGTGGGGGCATTGTCCCGATAATGGGCCCCAGCTGCCGCTTGAAAGAAGCGACAAAGCGCCTGGCGCTGCACACGCATCATCCCCTCGTTAAATCTCTGTTATTAGATTAGATTCCAAATGTATTGATTTGGAGGCTGGAGGGCGATGGGGGAGGGAGGAGAAGCTGGCTGGGGATTGCTGAAACTCCTCTCCTCATGCTCGCCCCCCCTTCTATGCCCCCCCTCCCCAGGCAGCTTGTCTTCCTATTCTCTCAGGGAAATCGCCCTTAAGCACATCTCCTAACTCTGAGCTCAGTCACTTCCCCGGACCACTCCTGCGAGGGGCCCTGGGTCGCTGAGCGAGGCTGCCACCTTCCAGTGGGAGAGGTGGCCTCCTGGGATATGGGCCACTGGCTCCACTGCTTGGAGCACTACAGAGGGCTGGGCACTTCCAAGACCTTTAATGGGAGCTTTTGAGTAGAACTGACAGGTAAATGGGGAAGGCAGCTGAGAACGGGGAGTCATCGTATGTGAATAGAAAGGAGTAGAGATGAGATAGAGAACCAACAAGCTTCTCAGGAGGAGGAAGGAAGCAGATTCCGGGAAATATAACAGTTGGGAGAGCCGTTCTAGGCCAGTGGTTCTCAACCTTCCTAATGCCGCGACCCTTTAATACAGTTCCTCATGTTGTGGTGACCCCCAATTTCATTGTTACAAATTGAACATAATTAAAGCATAGTGATTAATCACAAAAACAATATGTAATTATGTGTTTTCCGATGGTCTTAGGTGACCCCTGTGAAAGGGTCGTTCGACCCCAAAGGGGTCGCGACCCACAGGTTGAGAACCGCTGCCCTAGGCCTTCTCATGTCCCGGGCAGGGTAAAGGTTTCCTTGGGAGAAGTCCAAGGTCAGTACTGATGACAAGAGTTAGTGCACTGGGACTCCCTGGCCCTGGCCTCAGTTTCCCATCCCTGGGCAGCACAGCCTGGATGTGGACCGATGAGCTGATTGGCTGTGGCCAGTGGAGCCGAAGATGTTACACGTGGCAGCTCATTCTTAAGGTGGTTAATTGGCTGCCACAGTGCTGGGTTCTGCTGCTCCAACGATTGTGGGTGAAGGATGGGGAGGGAGAGATGAGGAATCAATAGGTTGATTAGTGTCTCACCAGCTCTCTGTTTGGACACTTTGTCAATAGTCACCCTATTACTGACCTGACCAGTGGGGCATCAACAGTGCCAGGAGCATGACTGGCCCAGCAAGTCCAAGTGAGTGAGCAGGACAAGTCCAAGTGAGTGAGCAGGACACGTCCAAGTGAGTGAGCAGGACAAGTCCAAGTGAGTGAGCAGGACACGTCCAAGTGAGTGAGCAGGACAAGTCCAAGTGAGTGAGCAGGACAAGTCCAAGTGAGTGAGCAGGACTTGGGCAGGACACGTCCAAGTGCAGTGAGCAGCTTTTTCCCAAGACCAGGCTCTGAGGTGCTGCTGCAGGGACCATCCTGGGAGCGTCAGGATGAGCCGTCTACTCATCAGGAAGCAACTACTGTGAGTGGGGCTACTCTCCAGCCCCACAATCTCCTGCTTTTTGCTGGGAGACCCTGATACCTACCCACCAACAAAACAAAGGTAAACATAACATCCATAGCTAGTCCCAAAGCCCGCACGCCTGGATGGAAGTATCGGATGAAATCCCATGCAGTTCTCCCTCTGTGAGTTCTTGCTCCACGCTGGGGACCTGGGGTGAGAAGCCGAGAGAAGCCAAACCAGACAAGCCCCCTTCCTCAGTCTCAGGCTCTTCCAGACACGAGGCCCCAAGATTGTGCCCAGGATGGTCTACTAACTAGAACTGCAGAGTGTGGGGTCAAGGGAAGGCATAGCTTCAGGTCTTTCTTACTGGACCCTTCTAATTGTCCAGCCCAGAACAGCTCATTCCAGGTATTTCTTTGGGGCCCTTTCCCGTTAGCCTGGTGTGTTCAGTCCCTGTCCACACGTCTTCCCCTGAGAGACAAGCAGCCCAAGGCAGGGAGAGGGGTGCGCTGGACTGAGAAAGAGCGGAGAGCCAGCCTCAGGCATCCATGGAGGACGCTGAGGTGGTCACTCTCGGTGGGCTCTGGCAAGTCTCTCCTCTGAATGCCTGTGAGGTGGGAGGAGGGATAGAGTTGGGGTGCAGCTCAGCACGTCTTGAACCCCAATGTCTGGGAGAGGAAGCTAGAAGATCAAAGGTCACTCTTCCACCTGCCTCCCTCGTGGTCCTGGTGGATGTGCCAGTGGCTGGCTGCTGAGAGTTCCCAAAGGCAATTAAAGAAGCAAAACTAGACACAGTGTCAAACCTGAGCTCTCAGTCTGAAAAACCAAGCCTGCTGGCGCTGGCCGTGGTGCTGATGTTCTGCTTTGCACGGCAGGGTCCTCGCGCAGGGAGGACTATGCTTCCGTCCAGCATCTTGCCAGAGACCAAGAACTGAGCTTCCCCCTCCCACCTCTCCATTGCTGTGTTCATGGTCCTGACATTCCCATTTAAATCCCACCTCCTATTATTTCTTCTTCATAACAGCCACCATTCCTTAGGGGCAGGAAGCACCAAACAGCCGAAACCACAGATACTCTCCAACCTCACTTTCACCAGTAACTTTAAACCTCTTCATCCTCACGCGGCTCCTGACAAATGGTCAAGAAGAGAGGTTAGGGATTTGTCGCATTTTATTACCCCCACCCCCACCATCTGATGAAACGTGAGTGTTCAGGGAAGTGGTCACAGGTGAGGTGAAGAAGGAGACGTTAGTGTTGGATAAACCTAAAGCAGTTATCAAGCCCATATATTTGAGAGTTGGCTGGCCTTCAATCTCAAAAACAAGGCTGAGGGAGATGAGCAGAATTCCAAAGTGCCTTATTTAGGGGTGGGGGGTGTGCCAGTGGGGAAACTGAGGCTTACTGCATAGATATAGAGTGAAGTTGGGAAATGCATGGATTTCTTCTGATATAAGACAACATGTTTCAAAGCCATCATGGCAGGTTGGGACAGGGGGGATGTAAGGATCTTGGACGCCAAGATTTTGGGAGAAGAGTGAAGGCCCTGCTTGGGGATTGCTGAGATAAATTGGCATTGGAACCAGGGATGGAGCTGTATATGTGACCGGCACCCCCTGGACCCTGAAGTCCCCCCACCCTCGCTCGGCTGGACTCCTCAGGAATACTGCCAGATGGACCAGAGTGTGACCAGGGTGACACTGTAGGCTAGCACCGCCAGCAGGTAGATGCGGAACAGCAGCCTGTCCAGCACGGAGCCCACGCGCAGCCAGTCCCGGGCCACCTCTCGGCTCTCCTCCCGCTTCTCCAGGAAGTGCCGGATGGAGGCCAGCTCCTGCAGCAGCCCGCGCATGGCCAGGGAGGCCTCCCGCGGCGGTGGGGGCGGGCTGTCTTTGCCCCTCGGGGTCTTGTCCAAGTCCCTGGGTCCTCCCAAATGGCCGCAGTGGTTCCCCATGTCTGGAAGAAGGGGCAGAGCATTGGCAAGGGAGGGGGTCTAGCCAGATGGCCTGAACACCGTCCCTTACATTTCTTTGGCCTGCAGAAGCTTTTAGCATGGGCAATCTCAGACATAAAGAGCATCGGGAGTAACTTACCTATTTGGGTACCCGCCATCCAACTTAAGCAAATTAAGAAAGCCAATACAGTGGGAGATTCCTGTACACCTCTTCTTCGTCACATCCTCCGTCCCCTCCCCAAGTCACCAACATCAACTTTGGTGTTTATCCTTCCCATGCACTTGCTTTTTAACTCATGGTCTTTGCCCAGCTTTGATAGTCACCATTTCATTTGCTCTTCACAACAGCCCGTGGAAGAGCAGAGGAGGACGAATTGTTATCCACACTCTTTGTATGAAGGTGCTAACGCTCAGAGAGGGTAAGTGACTAGCCTGTGGTCACACAGCTGGAGCGTCATTTAATAGCGAGGCCACCGAGGCCTAGATATCTGGGTTCTGAATCCACTGCCCTCTCCACTGTGTCTTATTGCCTCGATGCCCTCCTCTCCGTGACTCCGAGCCTTCTGCACCAGAAAACACACCTGCAGATGTGGCGGCCTTCGCCAGGTGAGCAGTGAAATCAGGCATTAGGCGGGTGCTCTAGCTCAGAGATTTTCAACTGTGCCACAACAATTTTTAAATCATGCGATATCTGGCTATTTAGTCAAGGGCACTGACCTCTTTTCCCTTAGATTGTCAAAATAATAATAATAAAAAAACAACAATAGCCAACACAATAGCTGTTCAGTATGCATGAATCAAAAGTATACCTATTTTTTTTTAGATCGGCAGAAAATACATTTTTTTTTTTTGCTATGCTGCAGAATCTTAGTGATTAGTTTACATGTGCCATGAGGGGAAAAGGTTGAAAATTGCTGCTCGAGCTCATGAATTCATGAGGAGATGGTGGTAGGTTAACGAAACATCTGTAGAAGGCGTGGCTCTGGCCGGAAGGGAGGACAAAGAGGAGTGCAGTGGGTGGAGTGGTTAAAACACCAGCTTATCAGATGGGCCTGATTTCAAATCACACTTGACCAGTTCCTGGCTCTGTGCCTTAGGGCAAGCGATTTGGCCTCACTGTACCTCTGTTTTCTCATTTGAAAAATGAGAATGAGGACAATGTGGATGAAATGGACAAATTCCTAAAAAAACACACAATCTCCCAAAATGGAATCAGGATGAATCAGAAAACCGGAGTATGCCAATAACAACTGATGAAATAGAAGCAGTAATCAAAAAACTCCCAGCAAACAAAAGCCCGGGTCCGGACAGCTTCACTGAAAAATGAGGATGAAAATCCAATTGGGTCACCATCAGGATCACCTGTGATCCCACAGGAAATGCTTCGCACATGCCTGGCCCAAAGTGCGCAAGAGACAGACCAACACGCCACCAGCACGACCACCAGCAAATGGCTGTGGCAACTCCTCAGCGGGTCCCCCTGCTCCCTGCATTCTGCCCCGTCTCTGTCCACCCAGGCTGATGAGCATGTGCAGGTGCAGAGAGATGGGCGCTCAGGCTGCCCCACCCCCAGTGAGGTGGTGCGTGGGGTGCCACATGCAGGACAGCACCCACCTCCCAGGCCCGGCTGAGCTCCCGGGCACGTCCTCCAGAGACACCCCGCCTCCCCCATGCCCCTGCCTCCAGACCGGAAGGGCCCCTGCAGAGGGACTCCCCCTTCCCCCTCACCTGAGCAGTCATCAGTCTTGCTGGTTTGGGAGGCAGCTGGGCACCGATGGGAGGTTGGCTGCTCCCCCAGGCAAAGCAGCAGGGCGATTCGCTCGAGAACCAGGCGCCGCAGCCAGGCAGGCACCGGCTGCTGCAGGTCTTGCTTGTGCACCAGCCGCACGATGAGGATCGTCTCAGCCAAGCTGATGACCAGCAGAGCCATGCACACGACAAAGTAGACACCTGTGCACCCCGGGGAGAGGGAGGAGGGAGACACATAGAAGGTGGGAGGGCCCACGCCTGGCTTCCTTGGCCACAGCGAGCTCTTCCCCAGAAGCAGGCCTTACCAATGAGGGGAGTGCCGATGGCGGTGGCTGGCAGCGTGTCGGACACAATGATCAGGAAGACAGAGTAGCCCAGAAGGAGTGTGATCTTGAAGGAGACCCTCTCACCACTCTCTGGGGGCAGGTAAAAGCCCACAATGTCCATGACCATGAGGAAGATACTGGGCAGCAGCAGGCTGACCGCATAGAATAGGGGCCGCCGGCGGATGACCACCTGGGACCAGGAGAAGAGCTCTGGGGGAGGCCTGGGGCAGACAGGTCCTGTGCCCAGGAACTGCCCCCCATCCCAGCCCCCTTGCTTGGTAGAGGTTTCAACCTGCATTTCTCAGAAAAGGACACGGACAGACCCCACATTTTGCCTCTGGATCCAGGCTTGTGGCTGTTAGGATAAGTGAGGGACAATTCAGCTGTTGCCCCATCTACCTCGTGGAAGTTCCAGGAGATGAGTGTGACCCTGCGGTTGGGCCGGGGCCACGGTGGTTCTCCCCCATGTCTCCTCAAGTCTGCCTGGGTGTGCCGGTCTAGTGGCTCTATTCATTATTTTAATCTCACCCGCTCCCTGTCCCACTCACGTAGAACTTCATTTCTGCATAACAGCTGCTGCTTTCCATGCTGAACTCCCGAAACTGGGTCAGCACCCCCAGAAGCTCCCACTCGCCCTGGTTCATGAAGACGCTCTTGTCGAACTTCACCTTTTCTGGCGGGCGCCAAAGGGAGATGTTGATGTCCTGGACTGGGAGAGAGGAAAGCAAGCCAGCGCTGGAGCCCACGCCAGCGGCATGCCAGAGCCCGCGACAGTGGGGTGCCGGGTGGCGCACCCACATGGCTTAGCTCGCTTCAGCTCTTCATCTCCAGCCTCAGTTTCCTCAGTTACACAGTGAGGTCACTGCACACTGTACCTATCCGTACAGCGGGCCTGGAGCGAGGGAAAGGAAGGATGAAGTGAAACACACAGCAAAGTGCAAAGAACCAACAAGCCATTTATTAGAGAGCACCCCCCCCCCCAACACACACACACATACACACCTTTCTAGGTTTCCTTGTTATAATTACCTACTTAGGAAATAAACAAGTCAGTACTCTTCACCTCGGCCTGCAGAAAGCCACCTGAACTGGAAGCAAGCAGAACCCCCGCTTACAGAATAGTTTAGCGCCTCTGCCTCTATTACAGAGACAGATGTGCATGGCACCAGAGGACAGGAGCGCCCACTGCAGTCAAACAGCAGGAATGGCTGACGTGCCCGTGGATCAGGAGAATGCGGAACAAACTCTGATGCACCCAGACAGACCACGGGATAGTCTACGGCCAAGGGTGGGCAAACTTTTTGACTCGGGGGCCACAATGGGTTCTTAAACTGGACCGGAGGGCCGGAACAAAAGCATGGATGGAGTGTTTGTGTGGACTAATATAAATTCAAAGTAAACATCATTACATAAAAGGGTACGGTCTTTTTTTTTTTTTTTAGTTTTATTCATTTCAAACGGGCCCGATCCGGCCCTCGGGCAGTAGTTTGCCCACGGCTGGTCTACGGCGGTCCGAATTGATGAAGGAGCTCTACATGCGCACTAACTTGGAAAAATGTCCCAGATCTGTTGTTGAGTAAAACGAAGCAAGTAGCAGTAGCATAAATGATGTATATAGAATAATTCCCATGCACTTTCCATAGATATGTATGTGTATCCAGGTAAAGGGTAGAGAAGGACCTGGAAGAGCATATCATATGAAGTTTATACTGCTGAAAGCTGTTAAGTCCTGGTGTGGGGAGTTGGTGAAGAGTTTGGGAATGCAGGTAGAGGTCAAAGATTCATTTCAAATGGGCTGGATCCGGCCCGCGGGCCGTAGTTTGCCCATGGCTGGTCTACGGTGGTCCGAATTTATGAGGGAGCTCTACATGAGCACTAACTTGGAAAAATGTCCCAGATCTGTGGTTGAGTAAAACGAAGCAAGTAGCAGTAGCATAAATGATGTATATAGAATAATTCCCATGCACTTTCCATAGATAGGTATGTGTATCCAGGCAAAGGGTAGAGAAGGACCTGGAAGAGCATATCATATGAAGTTTATACTGCTGAAAGCTGTTAAGTCCTGGTGTGGGGAGTTGGTGAAGAGTTTGGGAATGCAGGTAGAGGTCAAAGATCATTTGTAATTCTGGGTTTTGGTCAAAATTAGAATGTAGTGGAGGATGCCGTTTTGCAGTAAAGTGATGCTCACGTCCCTAGACCTCAGTGAGCACCTAGCGTGCACCCCCTCGATGTGTTTGTCAGCACCTTTCTCTGTGCCAGGCACCGTGCTGTGCACCCAGTGGTGGGGCAGAAATCGTGTTCCGCCCTCTCTTCGTGTGTATCGGGTAGAGAAGTACACATTGAACAAGTGCTTACAAGCACAATAGACGTGGGAAGACGAACAGGAGGCTGTACATTGGGCGTTGGGGATGCCTAGTCTGGAGACTGAGAGGGGTTTCCCCGAGAAGCTGACCCTGAGCTGTGATTCGAAGGTGAGTAGAGGAACTGGCTAACC